AATGATTGAAACCGCCTACGTAGAGGCCCTGGAAATACACGTCGATGCGGGGAGGGTTGTGCGCGTTCTGGCAACGCAGGAAGTGCAGCCTATCGCGGTTTAAGATGGTTGTGCTGCCCAATACTCGGTCGCTCAGTCCACTGGATTTACGTTGTTCGACGACGCATCATGGGGAAGAAAGCCATCACCAATCAAGTGGTACTAGAGGCTTGCTCTAGTGCCGAGAGAGGCATGACTACCCGTGGAACACAGGAGGTGGTGCGGAGTGCCGATTCTTCATCATCCCACTGATTCCGAAAGTCCTAATTCTGTAGCCATTAATTTAACGGATTGCGATTTCACTGACATGTTAGCAATTTGCAAAACCTGCACTACGTTCACAACCCCGTTCTACTTTACCGTCCGTAGAACCTCAAAGGAAGGCAGGTGATATTAGTCACAGCGACGTATTTGACAATATGACCGGCAAGGCGTCAGTGTGCATGCAAATATACTCAGCAACCAACAACCAAGAGGGAAAAACACTGCACAAAGTGTAAGCGTGAGACATTAATTCGAAAACAAAATCGCCTAACATTAAAGCAGTTTGATCATGACAAGATGAGAATATTCGCAGGCTTTCCTGAGAATGTCACACATAAGAAAACTGGTTGTGATAATCTGTAATACATTAACATTGAATCCGTACACATCCGAGGTAGTCCTATGTCTATTGTAAATTGCTCGTTGTGGACGTTTTTCATGGACTAGATTACCTAAAAAATCCAGAAGGGAGAAGTTGGACATGGCCACTTGTTTACCAGCTGTGGCAGGTTGCGGTCGGCCACGTTTGCAACTACGTTTTTCTAAAAAAAGGTGGGTCAGCGAGGACCGGAGGTTGTGTCAGCATTGGGTGTGGTCACGTGGCATGCATGGCGGGGACAAGTATTTTTCTGCAATAAGCTGCTATCGGGTGCGTTATGGCATAGCCGCTTAACACCAGTGAATCGTTTTAATTTATGACCACCGACCCGGTGGCCGCATTCCCCAACACACGGTCCCATTTGCCCGGCTCACCAACCAGTGCATGTTCCGCTTCCGCTCCATTCAACTAGCCATCCGGTCATTTGTACTGTAACTAGTTCACCCAACATCTATTGGTCAACCACTTCGTTAGTCATGCATACACAAACTACGTTGAGCCATCTAATGAAAGTTTGTCTTCATCTGCGGTAACCTTGATCTTCCCGGATATCGGATGTCCTGGCGTGGTTCGAGAACACGTGCTGGGGCCTCCAATAACACAAGCGGTAGCTCCAAAAGCGAAACCGAAGCTGTTGTTAACACTGACGGTTGTTTTAATTGATAAAAGGGTGGGTCGATTTTTTCAAGTAGGGTCCGAATACTTTGAATATCATCAGCTTCTGCATCAGTGAATGTTTTTGAATTTCATAAATTCAAGTTTTGCGGATTAACACGTAAACGCATAGAATTATAACTCTTACTTTGGAAGCATCGTGTAAACAAAGATGTAGATCCACATAGCACGATTCAAAGTCACCGGTGATTATGAACACTTACAATCTGGGCCTGCAACGACCGCCTTAATGTACACACCCCAAATAATCGGGATAAGAGTGAATAAAAAGGTGGTCACGTGTATGCAGTGAGCTGTGTAAATTTTGTCAAAATGTCCTGAGGGTTGAAGAGCAAACTTTGAACGTTCACTATCGAAGTCATTTACGAGGCGGCCCTTTAGCGGGTCGTCAGCATGGGAATTAATGCGCATTGTGTGTCAACAACAAGTTCCACTAAAAAGAGGCCCTAAATCAGGGTGTAGGCGGTACAGACATCTTGAACGCATTTCAATCACTTTCTTGGTCGCATTTAAATACAACAAAAGAGAAGTGAAGAGGCTTTACATGCACCATATTCGCAGCGGTTTGCTGAAAATGACGGCGTAAAACGAATATTTAGGCACGTTAAAGTACTTCGTGAATGGAGTACGTGACGACGTGCCTATTTTAAACCACAACCCACCCCTCATTTCGCTTTCCAACAAAATTATTTCCTGTTACAAAAGAGTTTGCGCGAATCCCTCCGAATTTATTTTCCTCCTATCAATTTTTCAATCACCCATCAAAGAGAATCTACAAATCGACATAAATTGACTTCTTTTTGCAACTAACCTCAAGAAGACTGAGAGTGCGGTGTCTATCATGATTACATGTGACGGCGGTCAAAGGGTCTCTCGGTTATAGTGTTATGGCAGCCTCACATATTACCAATTCAATTTTGTACAAGACACATGTGCTTTCGTTAGGTTTCGATAAAAGGCAGAAAAAAATTGCCGAAAATGGATTTTTTTTTCGAAATTACTACTGTTTTGCCAAGGATAAAAGAGGCTTTTTAGTTCAGCGCAAGGCTTTGAGGACTATGCGAATCCTTCAAATTACTCCTGGTCTAAAGGACAGCCAATACAATCAGCCCCAAGATGGGTTGGTTATCCGAATTCGCGGTTGAAAAAATAAAAAAAAGGCACATAAACCAGGAGCAGTTTAGGGGGCCGTTTTCGGAGGGGCGTGAAGATACTGCAGGCACTACAACCTCGACCTATGCGTTTGAAAGAGTGCTAACTTCGCGAAGCGGCGACGGTTTAAATTTAACCAGCCCATAAAACCGGCAGTTTATCGACATGAGAGACTGTCAAGCGCAATTAACTCTACACACCTCTGGACAGGTAACCAAGTTCGTACAAGGAAGCATAGATCGATTGAAAAGCAATGCAAATATCCGCCCTACTTTGAAGATCCAGGGTTCCAGGTTTATTAACCATGATTCCGAAAAGCATACAAAAATAAGTAACACCAAGACCCGGAGATTGCCTCCCTGTGCGACTGCCAGTAAATAAATTTATTCCTTAGGTTTGTGCACCGTTTGGTCTAAAATTAACTTTGACATGCTTTCAGCTACTTGAAAGGTTTGATAGTATAAATAAAGAGGCCGACTTCTCTCAAAACGTGTTGCACACTTCCTGTACCTGCTTCTTGTAATATCGTCGAGTTGTCCTTCATATGAAACAACTAACCTTGCTTGGTTTAGACTTGATTAAGTGCAACAAACAGCGACGAACAACTAGTGGGCAAGTGGCGCCAACCCGAAATTACCTTTGGACTGACCTGGATCCACACCCAAATGTGTACTCGCCTATAAAAGTAAATTGATTCATTTCCTAAAAGTAATGTACTAGTTCTAACTCGATCAACACGGGAATTTCAAATTTGAAATGCGTTTTAGCCTATTTGGTGTACCACGAAAATATGATGTTTGCAGATACACATAGAACGGAAGTCGTTAAATGACAAGCAGAATCCCAGCAGAGCTGCTTATTTGTACTGCAGATTAATTGGCAGCAGCCGCGCTTGATTGCCTCAAATACCGAAAATGACTGGAAGAAAAAAGACTTGGCATGGACCGTCGTATAATTGGTCTTCTTAAGGCTCAACGTGTGGAAAGGAAGCCCAGGAGGCTGCACCGAAGGCACTCAGGAGGGGAGAGGGAGGTAGTGAGATTAGTACACAAGTCTGCGCACATGTCGAGGGTCGTAAGACTGCCAAAAAGGAACTAGAATTTGAAATCTTGAAATGCTGCTTGGCTAGTAATATTCATCGCAATATAATGTGAATCGTTATATGTGGTGAGTTAAAATGCACTGGGCCTTGGAAGAAGGGGGGAAGGCTGTGGAAAAGACTTGATCTGACGAATGGGGAAGTTGACTTCTCTTCCTGTTCATGGTTGAGAGCGTCACTGAGATCTGAGATTCGGGTTTGCCTTGCACATTTATTCTAGGCACAAGATAAAGACATTAGCCGTCAATGCAGGCTCACTGCAGATAGGTTACGAAAGCAGTGTATGAGGCCTCAACGAAACTGTCACAATGGTTATGCTAAGATGATTTGCTTTGCAAAAGAACCACTCGAGATGCTGCACTCAAAACGTCAAATAAAAGCCGTGGGAATTCCAGTGGCTTTTTGAGATCAATTAAGAGTGAAGAACAAGGCACCGTTAGAGCAAGGCGGCATGAGACTTGAGGCATATGTGGAAAAAGAGGCACGCTCGGTTGGGCTGCAAGGTTCCGACTGGCCAGCTCATGATGCCTATTAACGAAATCGGATTTAGCGAGGTGAAGATTTCAACTTATGTTAGCTTTGCAAATGGTTGGTTGTTTGAATGTTTGTTGCTGACAGCAGTCATGGGACAATGTTATTCTACAAGGCGTCGATCCAAACCAATACCACAGAATTGAAAAAAAACGTGAACATAGCGAGCGAGTAGCTCTGATCGACTAATCGAAGAACTGAAAAAATGAGCGCTTTTTCCTAACGTTTTCAGGTGCACAGGAGACTCCACAAAAAAACTGTGCCTATGGGGAAAATCTCGGTAACATTTGCCATGTTATATCCGGATACCTCTTTGTTTCACTTTAGTGGTTATTTTTGAACACTACTCAAAGTTCAAAAAACTGATACGCTCATAGGAATCGAAGAACAGCAAAGCAAGTTCGAAACAGATGGACACTTTATGCGAGTCATCTGCTAGTAGAATTTTGAATAGTGTTCCAACAGAACCCGTATAGTAAAACCAAGAGTTTTATGGAAATAACACGGCAAATTTTACACTCATTGAATGCAAATGATACAACTAAACTAGAAAACACAGGAAAGCCTGACGTAAAACGCCTGCTTGGCAGAATAGAGGGTGAAAAAGTAGATAGTGACTTAAAACAATGCGTTTTCGAAATACCACAACCGTAACTAGCGCTGATAGCAGACCCAAACACTTAAAAAAATTAACGGCAACTTGGCGAAAAAAAACAATGAATGGTTAATAGGTGAGATAAGACAAATGCTGGTGGTCTCACAAATTAAGAAAATGTAGACAAAAGCAGACACATTGAGGCCACATGCAGCTCTAATGCGTCAAACTGAACACTGGCTCATCGCTGTTTCACAGGAACCTACACGTGCATTAAAGCTCCACAACGGCATGCTGTTCGGTTTCGGATACTGGGTCTTCTGTTGGAGGCGGAGTCGCGTTTTTCGGGGACGAGGGGCCGTCGCGTATAGGAGAAGGCGGCTCCACGAAAATCTCCTCTTCCTCCTCCTTCTCCTCCTTTGTGAGTTTGGTAGGAGAGCTGGTGGTTTCGGGGGAAGAGAGGGTAACCCGGGAGGGGTAGGGGAGTGTTGCCGAGCGAATCGACGAGGCACCGGCGCCGGCTAGACTTTGAGGTCGACCTGGAAAGCAAAGCGGGTTGGGTGTGGGTTGGGTTCGTTTTCAAAATGAAAACAAAAGAAAATCTGAGCAACTTAAAAGATTACGAAGAGAAGCTAATTTTGGGTAGTTGGTAGTACCACAGCGGCCATAAGCGCTGAAGTCTGGAGGCGTTGCCGCTAGGAGCATCGCTCATTTGAAAATAACCTAAGGCTACGCAGTGTGTATAGTATAAGGTTCAACTTATTCTGAACGTAGGCTAAAGGCACAAGTCGTTCCGGGGCAAAAAAGAATGTGCGTGAGAGATTTTATGGCCAGCGGTTCCGTTGACCCAGGTTGCAATGACGCCTTTAACGTCAAGAAGAGACGAGGACTAAGCAAGTAAACCAATCTGCGTAATTAGAATTGAGAGAAGCTGAGGAAAAATGAAAAAAAAAAAACATTCCTCCAAACGTTCCACGCGCAAATTTTTGAGATACATCGGAGAATGGCAATTATATATTACTGCAAACAAGAGTTTAATACAAGAATGAAATCATTTTTGGGTGCAAAGCCACTGCCGAGTTGGCATAACGACAAGTAAATTACAAACACACAATGAGATTCCATAAGTAAAAATTACGACCATCACATTTTGGTTTAAAGGTTACAAGTGGGCTGCCTGGGTGGGCGATGGCGAACAAAAAGGCTTTCAAACAGCGAAAGTGAGGTGAGAGTGAACAAACGGACGCTCAACGCATGAATGGAGAAAGATAATGAGGCTGTAAACACGAAAACGGCTGCTATGGAAACCACCGTCTGGAAATAGGATCGTGCCTTCAAGTCATGGGTTTCTACCGACACTAATGTCGCGACGTTGTTAGAAGCAGGTTCGTTTGATTGACGAACACCCAGGTGTCACGGGAGGGGCTGGTTTATAAAAATTCTACGGGATATTGTAAATCAGTGGCATCAACTACACGGAATCACGCTCTTAATAGGGACGACAGAGGGTAGCCGGGACACGACCCCACTCAAGCGAATACCTTTACACCTGAATCGTCCACACAGAATTAGACAAAACGGTGATAGAGGGATAGGATAAAGTAAAACCCATGACCAAACTACGGAGATAAATACAACTAAATATGATCGATACTCTGGATTTACCGAACCAGTGGTGCCAGAAATTTGACGTCATGAATGGGGGATACACTCAACAAGCTTGAACTAGAGGGAAGGGTTGGTGCAAGGTGTTATTTGCCTAGAAAGCAATGTTATGTTAGCAGATCCATCTGGGGCCGAAGCACCAAAAAGCACTCAACTAACAGCCCTGGTTTAAAAAGATGGGGCACTGCAACAGTGGCAAACTCACTCTCATGGGTGGCCCCGGGAGGGCCGACAGGAGAGCAAAGAGAAATAGAGGATGTGGTGGAGGATTCGTAAGAGTTGGTTGTTGCGGTGGGAACATTGGTCAGTTGGAGGGGACTGCCAGGTCCAGTGGAGGCGACACCGCCTCCGATGGCGGACAGAAGGTAATTTAGCCAGGATCTTTTGATTTGCTCGCAGGGGGCTCTGAAGATCAGAATGGCCGTCGACTTGCCACACGGACGCAGAATGTAGTCCCGCTTCTCCAGGTGTGACAAGTGGAGCTTCATCTACATCGTGTGCAAGAGTGCTTCCATAAAAAAAGGCATTAGGCTTCACACAAATTACTCCATTTTTTTCTAACCTACCTTGCAAGCTGTAGCCTTCAACCTCAAAACATACTTAAAAGAACCCACTGTGCCTCACTTTGATTACCGTGATTTATGCCAGCCACGACGATTAGTGATGAAAAACAACATACTTTTGTGATAAGATGAGGAGCATTTGATTCAGTTTAAAATCACGAATAATGTCAAACTTTATCTATTTCAGTAGGCTTCCGTGCTGTCACACAGGTTTAGAATATAAGAAATGCGCCCAAAGAATAAGAATTGGACGTAAAATGCAAGCATATAAGCTTATGCGGGTTAACAAAAACGTGGAAAAAAAAGTAGAAAAAGTCATGGCTGGAGAATCATTTTACTGATATAACGCAGAGGCACAAATGGGTTAAACTGGACGCGTACCTGACAGTGCAGACACTGAAGGGCAGGAGGAGGCGAGAGGACGTGCCAGCACGCGCGTTTGCACAACTCGCACACCGCGGGCACCCGGAAGTGGATGCGCTGGAGCATGTGACCCTGCAGAGGAATGGGGCTGGTTCCGAGGGTCAGCGGGACAGGGAGGTTGCGAAACAGGGGATCACTGGAGCACGCGGTGCTCAGTAGTTGTCCGGAGGAATTGGTGCGCACCTTCAGAGGCGAGGCTGCTGCCACTGCCAACGGGCTGGAGGACTTGGAGGCGATCGAGAAGGCGCCCGAGAAGGAGAAGCTTAGCTTCCGTGGCAGGGTCTTGGAGACACCTACACACGAAGGAAGCAACGTAAACACACACACACGCACTTCAATGCAGTAGGAAAACACATCGGAATGATACACCCCACAATCGCATAGTATCTATCAAGTAGCGCGTTTGAGATTACCGGGGACCATCAAACCCGAAGCAAGGGAGCGATGAGTATCTGCTTGTGCTGGTGCAGTGAAAAGGTAGAGGTGCACATTATTTAGGGCTGACACTTAAAACTACAATCTTGTCAAAAGAACATAAGGATGAGGCTTCAACCAAAATGGCGTTTTGCAAGACAGATCATATAACCCATTGTGAGGGGAAAGGGGTCGTGGGATGACAGATGACAAGAATAAAAAGTAAATGTTTTTCGTTTGAATATTTGTTGGGGAAGTCAGCGTTCCCAAATACAATTTTCTTCACAAAATCACAACTGGCAACTCTTACATTCAAACCTTTATTCGTTTCACACGATTGCGTTGGCTACATCACCTCAATGGTCACACCATATGCATAGTCACCGTTTCTATCTCACACCGACAGCCCCTACTTGCATTAGTCCCTCTTAATCCGTCGGGCGAAGGTCACCCAACGCTGCCCATTCAGACACGAAACCCGGCCTTTGACTGAAGCAGAAAAAGCTCTCTGAACGAGGTCCCGTCTTCGGCCTAGACTGGGAAGGTGGGACTCGCGTTAGACAGTGGATTAGCGTAATGGTTTTCCGAGCGTGCGTTTGGCTATGGGAATATTGTACCTCCGTTTATCACTGCAAGCCAATGTTTTCTGTCTTTGGCAGCGGTGCCAAATTTAAGTGCAAACATACTCTAATTCAACTTTAAGGCTTGATTGTAACAGCCTCGAGATTAACAATCCTACGTCCTTGAGGCCTTATTTGACGAATAAAAAATACGTAAAAACCACTATTGTTATTATCATCATCGTCGTTGAATGGTACGAAGCTGGTAACATATGGAGTTGGTGGGCATATTGGCACCAGTGGTGATCTGAAAATGAGAGGAACGAACCGAGTATTCCAGTGGCAGGAGCTGACTTGGGAGGCGGTGTAACACAGTGGGGACTTGACTCAGGGCTTGACTTCCTTGGCTCGGGAAGTTGTGCTGATGGAAGCGCTGCTTGTCTAACGCCTCCACCGACCTCGCATTGGTCGAAGATGACCTGGAAGATCCTCGGTAGGTCGTCGGCAGGAGCGTGAAGCACATCACAGGAGGTAACACTCCGAACGTGGAGGATGGCGCTAAGGGGGAGGTCCAGCAGGAGGCTGGGCCCTTGACGCGAGATCTTTCGACTCAGAGTGCTGGTGCTTGGACTGAGGAGGTTGACGTCCGAAGGGGAGGAGCTATCAGCCGTCGAAGATTGTTGGAGGATTTCGGTCGACTTATCCGCATCCCACAGCAGCAGACTACTGCAGGTCAGCTGTGAAAAAATGATAAAAAGGGAGAGTTATTTGAGGGGTGACTATGACCTTTTTGGAAGATCGTCAGCACCTGCAAGTAAAACGTCAAGTGTGAGAGGTAGTAAATTAAAGCAATAGACGACGCAACACTCAGGATCGGAACACAAGTACTCAGAAGTAATCCAAAAATAGCCAAATCCGCTCAGCTGGAGTAAATCGTGGAAACGCACGGCACGGCAAGACAATGTACCAGCAAAAAATCTGTTTTAAGCAGCAGGGTTGATTAAAGAGGCGATGAAAAACGCTAAGCAGGATACATACAGTAAATAGCGTTTAATCGGTTAGAGCACTAATTTTTGATGCCCACTTGAAAGCTCACCCAATCCCGATTGAGGAGACGCACACTAAAACAAAATAAAAAACACCGACAGATGACTGTTGTTAGGGCAGTGACCTCTTCGTCTCTACCGGGTTACAAGTCGTCAAAACACACACCCAACCACATTTAAGGATACGCCAGCACGTTAAAACACAGGTCCTACGTTCCGCTGTGGTCGCTTACACTCAACATAGACGAAATCCAATGCATAAGGCAAATGTCGAAGTTCTTTGGAGATGCACGTCTGTAATATCGAAGGTTAGTGGTACTAGACTGGAGAATTTGGAAATGAGCCAAAAAACAGGGAGTACACGAGAAGATTAGCAAGTCCCTATTCTGCGTTTGCCCCGCCGATGTTTTAATGGTCTGACCCGTTCGCTGAGTGAGCGAGGCTAACTGTGTGTCACAGCACAACAAAATCCATTAGCAAAAGTTGAACGAATGCTGACTCTAAACGAATTCCGTTATCGTCAACTTAGCCTAACAAAGCGGAGAATTGTGCTGCTTCATGTTCATTGCATCCTGGTTTATCGACCTACAATCGCTACATTAATCGAGCATGCACATCTGCCACCCGGCCACCACTGATTGAGGCCACTAACAGAAGCTGACCCTCAGTCGAAATCTTGTACACGACCACAACTTGGTCGAGCCATGTGCGAGCTCAGTGTGTCATTAAATGTGCTATGGTGGTAAATGTTTGGACAGCGTTCAAATCAAATAGGATTTCCGTAAAACAAGACAACTTGGTAAAATGCAAAGTGGCATGGCCTAATGACTACATTTTACCTTAGCAAAACGCGGATCCCATACGAGTTTTTTTCTGCGACCTGGCTTTCCAGGCACGTCAAGTCGACCAGAAAACCCAAAATTAGCCGGCAGCGGAGGCCTTTGGGGCAGTGCGCCACCCGCGGACGGCGAGGTGATGAGGAGGGGACGCCGCGGGGACGAGAGACTGGACACTCGGTGAAGAAGAGTCGGAGACAGTGCGCTTTCCAGAGGGGGCAATCTGTCGTCTGCTGAGTCAGCACCATGAATCAACTGAAAGGCAATTCAAGAAACGCATTACAGGGTTGCCAGTTGTACGATAAAAGGATGCTGCTCACTTGCCTCAGCATCGACGACAGCGGCGTTCTAAGGCTAAACGACTGATGCCTCCAACGAAAATTAGGCCTGGAATACCTAACCAGCCACAACAACACAGTGATCCGTTCCACGTCTCCACACACCATTGGAGACATTTGTATTGGTGTACGGTTTTGCATTACTGCATCTACTTTTCAAACCGCATTAAGGTAACTCTAACAAATCATTGAACACGGGCTCGTAGGACCCGAGACTCCAAAATACGGTAAATCCCGGAGTTCTAAAATAAGTTAGGTCAACTTTGCGGTCGAAAGACTACCTCGGAGGTGGGCTGTCCGGTTTCGACTGTGGTCTTCCTAGATATTCGGTTTCGGAGGCCTTTGGAGCCAAGAGGAGCGGGAACGAGGTGAACTGCGTTGGCGGAGGAAGTGCCATTGTCCGACGTGGCAACCATTAGCGCAGCATTAGCGGCATTTAGTTGGTTTTGTAGGGAGGAGACCTCTTCCGAGAGACGCACTACCTGATTTCGGGCGACCTGGGCTGATTCCTGACTGGCACGGAACATCGTGCGTGCCTGAGAGGCAAATGATTTATCAACAATGAAATGGATGGACGATTTGCTCATTTTAAGAGGGCAATTGGACGATGAGAATAATATTGAACTCCGATAGCCAGTCTTTACAGTCCTTGTTCTCGTGGTGAAACAATAAAAAAATAAAGTGAGTGAACAACGCTGACTTGCAGCTCGTTTAGACTAGAGAGAAGCAATCAATCGGGAGTGAGGAAGCGTTAAAATGCCTAAAACGGATGCGGCACATGCGAGGATCTGACGACAGAAATTTGCACCAGGCGGCGTCAGTTCCCTCCATTGGCATCTGGAACGCATCAACAATGATCGCCAAAAAGCACACTGGGGTTAAATACAGCCCAATGGGTTTGTAAAATATCAACGTTGTGGTGACACACTAGCACACTTTAGGTGATTCCCAGTGTGTGGTTGGTGGGTTCAGACTGGCTGCGCGATGGCTTGACGCCAAAGACCTCGGACCAAGACTCAAGCCTTGGTGAGACTCATGGACGCGGTGAGAGATGTGGCACGATAGCAGGACGCACGGCGCAAGCAGATTGGCTCTGCAGGCGTACGTCCACGTGCTGCGTCTACCGGACCTGGCGAAAGTGCGCACTGGCGTGCACCCAGTAAAAATCAATGTTCACAGGAGCGCACCGCGCCTTCCCGCCACCAAGTGGGTGCGGGCGTGCGGAATAGCTTGCACCCGCTTGGTAAAGAAAGAGATGTCATTGCAGGCTCGACCAACACGCTCGTGGAGTGCTTTTGAGGAAAACGGTCAAATTGTAGTTAACAGAAATCTGAAGGTGTTTGCTGAAGAAGAGGCTACCGTGTGCGGAAAAAGGTTTCGCGTTTGAGCGGTACAAGATCATTACTGCAGACAATATCTGCAAGGCACTGTGAAACGCGCCCATTTATTGATCAGCATCGACACGAGGGACGCACCTTTGGGCCATTCCTTGTGAGTCACATCTAAACAAAAGCGACGACTCCAAAAAGAGACATAGTGCAACACATTTTGTTGGGAGCCTGTTAAGTGAACCCGCATTAATGTTAGGTTATTTATAAATCAGAAAAGGCGGACAACAGGAATGTGACAACATTGCTCGCTGAACCAACACCACAAATATCATCTACACCAGTTTATATTTGGTTCGCCTTCATGTGAAATTTGAAGACCACGAGTAATTAAGGTCCACTAAGTCACTATGCGAACGATATCGAAAGTCGAGTGCTTCCTTGCAAAGCATAATTGCGTGTGAAAAAAAGTTCTTTGGGTGGAGTAAGAAAAGGGAACACCAGTGAACTCAGCGGTTTTCACGGAATAGATCTAAGTGAACGACTTAAAAATTAACAGACTTGTGGGTGGCACCACAAATGCCCTAAGTGTTACAGCTTCACTGATCGAGCGAATCAACGCTCCATCGCGAATAGGAAAGTTACCTAATGAAAAACGATATTTGAATTAAATCGAACGAATTTGGATGCTCAAACATTGGTTCGGCAGGCAAGAGATTTCTTGGACAGAAATTGGCGAATTATTCAGTCTTGACCGGTAAATTCAGACAAAGGACCTCATCAGTTAAAATAATACATGTAATCCCAAATCCGTAAACTATTGATTAGAACATCGCTCTGCTGAAAATGCGTCAGCACTTCCACAATGCTAAATAATGCGACTGATAAAGGGCAAGTCCGGTAGAAATCAACTTTCATGCCCTCGAAACAATCACCAGCTCAATAAGTTACCGTGATGTGGGGGTGTGTGCGTGCGTATGCGATCAAGTAGATTGTCGATCGCGAGACATTCTAGGCCAATACACGGTTGGTGTGGGGACAAATATCTCAGCCTCGCTTCGGTCCCCACAGGACAGATCTAAACACGCAACACTTGAATGGATGGCTCAATTAGTTACAATCGCACAAAGATTCACTCTCATTGGACATAGGCAAGAAACCAATTAGACCGCAAGCACGAGATGCCACGGTTCTTTATACAACGACAGCGCTAATTAGCGCCAAGACATCTTCGAGCGCAACCCTCGCGTTAGCGCTCTTAGTTGGTGGAAATAAATATCAGGGAAAAGCTGGGAACGCTACGCAGGTATTTCAGGACTGGGCGAACAAGTCGACACGAAAAACAATTGAAATACACTCCCTGAAGGCATTGGCGGTTCTAAAATGGTGAATACTTGGATTTCCTAAATGACAGTGTCTTCGTTCTGCACGATGCCGACAAAATTGTTGCGTGAAAATGGTGCGATCCAAAAGAGATGAACACACGATGCACGCGGGCCGGTAACTCGACGGTAAATTTAACTTTTCGACACACCCTAAATGATGGCTTATTTCATTGGGGGTTCTGGACAAGATTGTGCTGGTAACACTTAAAATCCTTTTCCAGACCAGTTGAAGAATACTGGACAACAGAACCGGAAAACGACAAGATGTTTACGCCATGATCTACTTGTCGATTTTCTTTAGTTGGAACACCTCATGGTACGGAAGCGGATAAGTGCATAGAAAAGAGGCAAAGCATTAACACGTGACCACTAAGTGACTGCGAAAATTAAGGGATTGAATTTCTTCCATCTAGGCCAAAGGAACGAACTACGCGCGCAAAAATAACAGGTATCAGATGAAAAACAGTTCGAATTACAAACTGTTTTAAGCGGTGGAAGATTTCGCTGTTTAAAACAGCAAGGCAATCAACACTCACATTTTGTACGAATAAAGAGAAATAATTGGACAGGTGGAGGAATGCACCCCCTGGTACGTGGGCGAACAATTGTCTTGCGAAGGACTAACCTTACGGAGTACATAAAACGGGGACTGGAGAATGTGGCAAGTTGGTTTCAAAAACGCACTACAGAGGTTTAAGGTGGGGCAATAATAAAAAGTAGTCACGATCTCACACAGCTACAATCATCAGCACATTCCTTCTAAATATCTAAAAAAAATTCACAAAAATGTTGGTGAATTGTTAAAAGGGATGCACTGGCCGGTGCACGCACAGGTAACTTCATCCCGTAAAAAATTTCAAATCAGTCAACAGGAAAAATAAATTCGGCAAATACCACTGTGCACATCGATGACAGTCTATTGTGAATGGCGTCAATTCACACTCCGTCAACCCGGTTGCTCTGCTCGCCGACACAATATCCCCCTCCTTTTCACAAGATGTCGTCAACCCACCGAAACTCCAACTCACACTCCATTCGCGCGAACGACTATCTTGGTTTATCACTATGTGTGATAGCATTCATCTAGGTCTCGGTGTTAGCACATATATGGCACACGCTACTTCACACATCTGAGGCATACACAAAGTTTGAGACTACATGCTGGGTAGTAAAATTCAAAAGCAGTTTCATACCTCTTTCATTTCAAGCCGGTGTTTGGTCTGAAGCTGGTCAAATTCACTAACGAGTTGCTTATATTTGCGGTCCATTTGTCGGAAAAGATGCTGCTGACTGGTGAATTTTTTGGCGTTCCTAGTTTTCAATGCAGTGGCGGGGGACAGAAAGTCGGAGGAAGAATTTCCACCGACTTCTGCATTTTTCCTAGTTGCCTCCATTTCAGAGAGCATCATCAGCTCTAGTGCGTCCGCGTTCTCTCCCGACAGAATCTACGCGACAATGGAGAAGGAATAGACTGTAGAAACCTCACTTGGGCAGTATGCTAGGTCAAACGGGTCAAAGTGAGATTCAAGGCAACGTTAGCTTAAGCAAGTATGAGGTCTTTGTTGTAAAATGAAGATCGCAAAGCATTAAATGAGTGCAAGCATTGGACAGCGTGAGGAGGGTTGCGTAGACGTTTTGCCGCGGTGTTAAGCAAAGAAATGGAGCTAGCCACACACTAAGGTGTGGAAATGTTTTTGGAAACCTCGACCATCCAAACTATGGCCCAGCTGCGGAGGGCAGAACGCAAGGATGGTACGAGGTTGGGTTGGTGCTGAGGGTGGTAAGCAGTGCAAATAAACGGTCTGGTGGTTAATAATGGGTCAAATTCAGCCACAATGGTCGGGGAAGTGGTCTCAAAAAATTGAGTAACATTGCGCTTAGAATGCACATTACTCCACAAAAGGAGTTATGGGGAAAGCGGGGTTGGCTTAATTGATTTGCGCCAGGGCTTCACACAGGTGAAGCCCTGGCTTGCTGCACATAGTATGATAATGACAACGGATCGGACAGAGAATAAGAGAGGCATGAGAAGGCACTGTTGGCACGCTTGAGCAGGAAAAATCAGTCAGCAGTGTAGATAGTTCTGCATTCCTGCAAAGTAAATCTGCCAACAACTATCAAATTCGAAACCACTTAGCTATGCGAAATAACTGATAATTGCTTGCTACACGCCCAGATGCACAAAAGCTTGATGCGCGTTCAATAACTATGGTAATCATGAACGAGACGTTAGCGCAAAACGTTTGTAGGCTTTAATGAACAAACATGGAATAAGGCATATCCAATATTTATGAAGTTTAGACTCCAATGGGTGAAAATCGAAAAAAAGTGCAGGGCAAAAGGGTCAGAAAATTAAATCACACACAAGGTTGATGTTGCGCAACAACATTAACAGAAACTACGACAGAGAAAGGCTAATAACCTTAATTTCCACGATTTACTTCTCAACACTGAAGAAGCAAATAAATACCAGACTTGAACGGGAGTATTTGGGTCAAGCTTCGTGAACGCCTAACCCGATGGGAGGGCATGCGGTTCAAGATGTGTGGATCACAGCATGACCCAGGTGTTTGACAATAACCTAGATGGGACACTTCAACAAAAAAACCAGAAAAAAACGGGAACACGGCTGACCTGCTGGATTTTGTTAACGGCGGCGCCACATTTGAGCTTTTCAGTGGCGAAGTCTTCTTGAGCCTTTGAGAGGCCTTCTCGAAGTTTCTGCACTTCTTCGCGTAAAGCATTTGCCTCATTGCTGGCTATCTGTGCACGACGGTTGGCGGCCTCAGAGGATTTCTCCTCTGCCTAATAAACAACATTTACAGATGAAAACTGCATCCGAAAATGTACATCTCCAAGAAAGTGCGTTTTACAAACAACCTGCTTGTGTCCGATTACCAGGTCATATCAGCATACTTGACTGCCTAGTTTGGTTCAAGTTTAAAGTAAATGACTTTGCAAGCTTTCTTGGCCAATAAGGTACCACCTGCCCTTGAACATCCACTATCAGACAACACTCGATTCGGCCTAACCAGTTTGCACATCAGACAAAAGTTTTACAATTGTGTAGCTAAAATGGTTTAATAGTTTAGTTGTTCAGGTGTACTTTTAAATGTTACATTCTACCGACACGTTTTTCAAGTTGTCTAACAGCACGAGAGAGCGCAGCAACAAACGCCTACCTTGAGACACTCGAGGTATTGTGCGGAGCGTTCCTGTTCCTCCATCAGGGCATGGCGGGCAGCGAGTTGGGATTGCTCCATCGACTGCTTCGCAGCCTCCAAGGCCTCGTTCAAACTAGTTATTTGCTGGTCCTGCAGGGGAGAAGGCTGATTGGTTAAGGGAGGTATCTGCAAGCTGGTCTTAATAACAACCACTACATAGGTGAGACCTCAAAAAGGAAGCAACATCGTTGCGCAACAATGCGGCAGGATGAAAGCACAGGAACCCTCGATCCATGCCACATTACCATAAGCTTTTACCGTGTACTATCTGTGGTACAAAACCTATCGACTATTGCATGCAAATAACTGCATTAAGTAGATTATTTTTGACATGACTAGAAAGTGGTTTTGATCTGAAAACCCGTCACTTGATAGTCTTATTTATAAATCCATTGGGAATCGCCGACTGCTATCAACATAAATTTTGGAGAAACCCAGCCCACGTCAAAGCAGAGTGAAAGGGCATCAATGTTGTTATTTGCTAGCAGTACAACGTTTGGATCGGCCGGAATTCTGATGAAGAACAAACGCTTTTGCTTACCAAAATAGCGAAGTAAACGCATCACTACGTCGAAGTACAAGGGTGTGGTACAACCAACACGAGATGAAACTCACCACGAATGCTCAACGCAACCCCACGGGTGCGAACTTTAAGATAAGTGGGAAAGTGGGCAGTCATCAAGCCAAACATACCATGACAAGTGAATGGTCCAGAGGAGAAAAACCCCACTCTGAAGCCCCAATGTCCAGGGATTGGGGAGGCATTTGGGCCAAAACCAAGAGCTAGGGAACTTCAACACTTTATCTGCGCAGGTATTTATCATTAGATTCACTCTTGATCGAAAAAATTAGCCCAGTAACATTTACAAGGAATTTTCATTCCAAACGATACAAACAATCAAGTTAGCCTATTTTAACGAAGATCGCATCCCCACGCAGCTACTAAAATTTTAACACAGGTTGATTAGATATAAGCTACTGTCGCTGCTTTTTGAAAAGTCGAATTTTTTCCTAGTGCTCGTTCTATCATCTAAAGCTAGCGTAAAAACAGACGACAACATTCCGGGCTAAGATAGATATTCACATAAAGGGATTAATATTGTAGGAAGGAGCGACTTCCAAATTTTGGTGATATTTGTTGCTGGGGGCTTGAAGAGTATGTAGGCAGGTGACATTATTCAATACTGAATTTCAGCAGACAGTCAGAAGCCTTAACTGAATTGTAAAGCTAGCCTAACTTAGAACAAGAACGTCATAAGACCAACCCTCTCCCCAAGTTGATCTTCCTTCTCTTCACAGGCCTTCTTGTAGAGTTCGGAGAAACGCCGCTCGATCTCCAGCAGCTCATCGGCCTGTTGCGCTCGCTCCACTAGCTCCTGTATTCGCTTCAAAAGAAGCTCTGTAGCAGGCGAACTGGAAGGATCGGTTTCGTGTGGTGAAGTAACACCGGTTGCGGGCAGCGGGACCAAATCACCGGCATCCGGTGGCATGTCAACAGGCAACGAAGCTTGGCGTCGTTCGACGGAGGCTCGTGTGATGCTTCCCCCTGCAGTTAGTCGGTCCGCCATGTCGGTGGCGCGTTTCGCCAACAGGTCAGCTGCCTTTGCTTTCTGCGCCTCCGCTGTTTGACGTGCCTTGTGCTCAGACTCGGCTATAGCCTAGATAATGGGAAAAATTCGTATCTAGACTCCAAACTTTTAAAGGTATTTCAGCATAGGAGCTACAGCGCGAGATGACACATAGGTCAACATTGGGATGACTCAGGTAGTTATGCATGTTAATGTCCACAAACAAAATTGCTTTAGCCAACTCCAGTATTCTCGGCAATTCAAAAACATCGATAAAAGTAACGCATGAGAGTAAGGCAAGCGCACGTAATTGGGACAGCCTCAACTACGGACGAGGAGCGGAAACACACACTTGTGCAGACAGGCAAGACAGACGTTGTGACTAAGTAAACACCAGAAAGCACTTTGATCACGAATCCGCAAAAAAAGACACCGCAGAGGTTGAACTAGCGGATTGAATAAGTCAGCGATTTACACAGACTCTTGAGAAGAGCAGAACGGCACCAATCAGAGTGGCTGCAAGAGAAAGGTCGGGAGTACCAACCCCAAATTTACACTTTTCACGACGTTCAGGTACATTTTAACTTATAGATACATAACGGACTACAATCGAGTTACACAATTGGTGATGTCACTTGCTGTTCATGGCTAAATTAGTCACGCGTAAACATATTACAGCATTTGATCAACATTTTAAAAATTCATAATGGACCAAAACACACGAAATGAGGCGAGTTTTAACTGACTATTTACCAACTTGGCTTCGGTTAAGTTTAATATTAAGACACGTTCTACAAAATTACCCAAATAAGAGGCACTTCTTCAACGGCAAAACAAACCATCATCAGCCAGAAAGGAGCCTGTCACTACCACATAATTATGTGACATTCACGTCGGAACAAATTAATTTGGGCAATATTTGAAGAGAGAAACACCTGGTTTTGGAACAAAATGTGTGAATATCCGTGCAATATTTTGGCTGTTGCCCTGGATCCGGTACAATAGAACACACTCCCGACTGCATTAGCAGTTACGGAATGTTTTAGGGGCACATGCTTTTCAACAAGAGTCCAGATTGATCTGATAAGAACCCAAAAAGTTCAACCACACTACAGTATTGACATTTACGGGTAAAGCAAGAACGGAGTGATTGTTTGAATAATAACACAGCACCATGGCCAAAATTTTGCCTGAAAAATGGATTTTTAAAATTTGGCAATCATTCCAGCGACGGCGGTGTTTTACGGATGTGGAGGCAGCACAACCGATTCCCCGCATCACTGACGCTCCAAGCCTTCAGCCACGTGATCGCGTGCTGAATACAAACAAAATTGAGCACTTCGACGAGAATAATTAGTCGCGAATTTCGAAAACAACTAACTTGCAAGCCACTTGGCGTACTACAAATGCCTTTTTAACTCAGCAGGAATGAATAACGGTCTCATTTTATTTCCATGTAGTGCTGCAAATCGTTTCAGTGATAAACACGTGGGAGTGAATTGATTATGTGACGTAAACATTTCAAATGCGTAAGAAGGACCATCAGCTAGCGGTGCGTAACTATTCACGTCCACTACATGATCTCATAATGCAAAAGTTCTGAAAAAAACGTTAAATAACTCCATATTAAGCTGGGTCCAAAGACAAAATTACGGTTGAGGCATGCTAGAAAAAAGTTGCATGCCCTCTCAGTTGCAGAGCAAGTGATTGAAACCTCAACCAGAAAAGAACGAATGAACGCCAAAAAGGATGACTCACTTTCCATTTTGCAATTTCTGCCTCCATCAGAGATGTCGCTGAGGCGAGTTCTAGCCTGGCAACCTCGACACGCCGCTCAGCGTCCCTCAGATTTTCAGCGAATCTTGCCTCTGCAGTCGCTAACTGAAGTTCCGACCTGGCCAGAGACTCTTCTAAAGCGCAAAGCACGCGGAAACATTACTAAACAGATGATGGGAGCACCGAGGCTCACTGCGGCTATGAAGTCCCACATCATCTATTGTGGTTTTCGTGCCTTTTTCACTAGATATCTTTAGACGATTGTTCAGTTACTACTGATAAGTCATGTAGACCCCACTGTATCACACGAAGCCTCAAAACAAAAGCTAATCTCTGATTTTAAACATCTAGTTCTGCTTAGCTTGTTACGTAAATGTGTCTGTGATCCTACACCGATTCATCACATTTTTTTTTCTGGATCAAGTGATTTTCAGCTAAATTTTATTTCTATTAAATTGGCAGGTTCTCGTCTGCCAATTGGCTGTCCACGTTTCTTAATAGACCGATTCTAGTTTCTCGCCGCCTTACCCAGTTCACGAATTCGCAGTGAGTTTGCGGTTGAACATCGACCATCTCCAACCTCCCTCTTTTCTAGCCCATCGACCAAAGAAGCGTCACAAACTTCCGTCTGCGGCTGGACTGGATCCGAATAGATGCTGGAGAGAGGAGCCAAGTTGGGTGAAGAGAAAGTGAAGCCCGCAAAGCTCAGTTGACTGCCCTCGAATTTGTCGTCATAGCTGCCATTGTCCCCTCCATTCTTGTCGGTACCGATTCCAGATTCCACCTCCAATGACTCAGTCTCCTCTTCGTCGTGGAAGTAACTAGTGTCCGTTTCGGATGTGAGAATTGGGTGGAATGGACCTGGGGTGATGGAACGGAGAGTCTTCCACGTCCAATCGAAAAATGCCTCATCCCCAGGCTCGTTGACACGCCCAGGAAGGCACTCAGTGGTGGACCAGGTGGGAGCGAACCAAGGGTGATTCCTCACATCGTCCGCTCCACCAGTCCCACTACCCAGGCGTACTTCTTCGGGAGAGAGAAGCCCTAAAGGAGAGAAAACAATATTGGGAACAAAACAACTAAACAAAGGTGTTTAGATCAATGTAAATTTGAACTAATTTTCCTGTCATACTTTGTGGGAAACAGAGAATCGGTGCTCTGTACTTGAATTTCCAAGGTTCCAGGATATCATCAGTAGCAGGCAACTTCTAAGGTGAACAATAAACCCAAGAACTCATGAATAACTACGTTTTAGCATTTTGTGTCAAGGACTAATACTGTGATTCAACAGACGAACTAAGATAGAAGCAAAACAATATAACCCAGAGTACACGACAGCGCCAACGACAGCCTAATTTCTGACTGACTTGAGGAAGCCACTTAACTGCCAACAATGCACGAAAAGAAATGCCTAATGCATCACCTAGGCCTTTTGCTTAATCAACAAGGTGTGCTAACATCACGTGGTACAGGCCCGTAGCAGTCGTATAAAAAAAAAGTATAATCACTTTTAAAAACATAAAAACGAATTGTTAGTTGTCAACAGTAACGCTTAGATAAAATATTCTGCTTGTTTGGGGGATTTGCCAATAGATAAAATGATAAACTGAAATTTAGTACATGAATGGGCATTGATGATACAGACAGTAAAAAAAAACAATGTTTTCTATGTTGCTCGACTATAGAAAAATGAATATGATCGGTAGATGTAGGGTAACCGCTTACATGTTTTGAATGAAAACCGACCTAGCTTTTTACACCAATATTTGCGATTGTTTTTTCTGTTGACTACCGTCGACACAACGAGCCAACCGTAGTGGTGAGTTGATTAGAGCATAAAATTTCTCTTTGAATATTTTATTCAGAATCCCAACTGAGAATTTCTTTACAGCTGTAAAGACGCGAGGATTGGAGAGACATTTCGATAAATAAAATGAAGTAACGCATAAATTTTCACCAGGGCTGATTACATTTGCTCGACAAAATACCTAATTTAGAGCATTTCAATTTTTAGAGAGCCGTCACCCAGATGATTCACACATCAAAGTGGAACACCTACAGCCCCATAAGTGCATGAGATAGTTGTGTTAACTGCTCAAACTACAAATGCTTAGGCTTTTAGTAGTTTTTCTTTTAATTCGCAGTATATGCCCCTAAGTTAAAAATAAACAAGCCATGAACTAGGAAATACATTAGTCGATGGCATTGTTCATGCATGAACATTTTGCATGCAGATTAGCGTGACTGGTGATTACCACCCAAGTATGGCGTGGTGCAGTCGCCTATGTGAATGGGGATTGCAGAGGAAGATCTCCACACCTCAATTGGAGAAGTGTTGCAATAACCGGTAAGACCAAACTAGTTAGCCAAGAGGACACACAACACTGTTCTGCAGATCTATGGAGGGTGGCCATTTCAAGAAATGGCATATCAGACGCCCTCACCTGACAAACGAAAGTTCTAGAACATTAATATGTGCATTAGGGGGGAGAGAACATTAAGCTTAAGACAAGCCGCAAATACCTCAGAATGATGCGCATGTGTAGTGAAAAAGTAGGCTCGAAATGTCATTGAGATTATCGTAATAAATAAGCTCACTTTTGATGAAATCCAGACACGAGGGAGTAATGGTGATATCCTTGGGTAAATGGAAGCTCGTTGTGTGGCTCATGATTTTCGAATAGGTTGTCACGAGATCATCGGAATAGAAAGGTGTCTCCCCGTAGATCATCTCGTAGACGAGGACACCCAAAGCCCACCAGTCCACCGGGAAGCCATATTCACCGCCTCCTGAGCTCTGTTAAAACGGCAATTAACCCGTTTCATAAGAGTAAGTTCGATATTTTAGCTCTCTTCTACAAGCGACATTTAGTTAGCTTCATTAATAAATCATAAATCGGCAATTTTTACATAAAACCACTTTATTTTGGTGGAGATGATATCCAATTGACCAGTTTATAGAACTAAATAAGACCAAAAATGTAATTAAAAAAACTGGCTATGTATTGACATCAGCACCAGGCGTCAGTCGCATGAAAAGAGCCCACGAAAATTTAGAAGTTAGAAGTTTGATAGAAGAAGAAAATTATCCAAAGTTAGGTCATTGACCCGGAACTACTTGGGTGACTACGAAAGTAGAAAATATCCATTTTGATAAACCACACAGGTAGACATCCAGTTACCTGAGAGTAGAGGACCTCCGGGCTAATGTAGTCAGGGGTTCCGACAGCGCTCTCGCAGCGGACACGATGACTAATGGGATCGACACGCACACAAGTGCCGAAATCAATCAATTTCAAGTGCCCACTCACGTCCAGTAACAAGTTGTCGGGTTTGATGTCCCGATGGATGAAGCCCATAGAATGGAGGTCGCTCAGGGCTTGAGTTATCTCAGCTGCATAGAAACGGCAAACTGTCTCGGAAATCAACTCAACTTCATCCATCCAACAGACAAGGGTGCCACCGGGTACGTATTCCATCACCATGTACAGGGAACGAGCATCCTGTTAAAAGAAGATTTAAATATTAGGGTTCTCATAAAGGCACAAATTTGGAGGAAAAACCCTGGTCCTTGAAAGAGGAGAGAAACAAGGCTGAAGATCCAGGTTGAACATACGAAGTTGCAGAAACCAACTTATGAAACGTTGGACTAGTGAGTCGCAATTGAGTTCTCTGCTGAAAGCGTGACTTGAAACAATAAACCTAAAGTGCAGATTTAACTAGGTATCGCCTCTAAGTGCTGTCAACTATACATAGTCTGCAGAACCACGTTACAAGATAAGGATTCAAGAAGCAATACTAAAAACATTCAAACAGTCCATCAAAAACCATGAACATAACAGTGCAATCCTAGGTTTGGCTGAAAATGTATAAACGGGAAAACAAACTTGCACGATATTTGCTGGCGCATTAGCAAACACTTTTTTAAACTATCGTGACGCTTGCTGTCAAAATTATCACATGCTTCAAGGAGGCTTTCAAGTGGGAGTCTCGCCGCTTTTGTAGCAGAACCTATTGGTTTAAGCAATGACCTTGTCAATAGCTGAGATCTGGGGAAGTGGAAAGAGTGAGCTGAATAGAAATACTATAGTTGGAAATGTTGCAAAACACTTGAGACGGATTCTAACTGCAATGTTCGCCTCATGAATATTCCCATCGCTTTTTGGTGATAAACGCATTGGGTGCCAACATTTAAAACCCCAATACATAATCCTGAAAAAAAGTTAAATTCGCGCAGAAGGCCATGAAAGTATTTTATCTCATGAAGTGGCTCAATTGATATTGATACAAAACAAGTAAAATTACGAAATAAGCTGTACCACAAAAATAATTAACTAGAAAATGGCGTTTAAAAGAACTCGCATAATGTAAACACGGTAACTACAGATAAACAATATGTAACCGAACTTAGCGTCAGCAAGAAAATTAGAAAAGAATTAGCGGTATCCCACAAGGAATATAACATACCTGAAAGGAGTAAAACAGATGCACAATCCAAGGTGACGCGCTTTGGGACATTATCTCTCTTTCGGCCCAGAAGTCAGCCTGTTGACTAAGCATTTTTGACTTGTCTAAAGTCTTCATTGCATATGTTTGACCGGTTGCGTTTTCACGTACAAGATCAACCCTTCCGTAAGCACCACGACCAAGACTCGCAATAAAACTGAAGTCATGCCTTTGTCTGCGCAAAGTCAGCAACTTTTTTACGGGCTCTGTGAATCTAGGAAATAAAAGAGGTGATCCACCGGATAAAGTGACAACCTATTTCGGCCAAAGTTTGACAAAGAAATGTCCAGAAGATAAATGAAACAAAATTGATACAGAAATTAAGCTTAAAATATAGCACATAACGTGATGACTAGATCAAGCTAACAACACAGGAATAAAGTCACCAGCGCCAAAAAACTAACAAAATAATAGCACCAATATGCTGATTGAGAGCAAAGCTAACGCCATTCGAAATAAAAACGACACTGAGCCTAGGTTTTAAATACACGCAAAAATTGGGCCTCTTAAAAAAAGGATAATCAAGAAGTCGAACATGTGTTAGGATTACAAAAAAAAACTAGATGTAAAAAAGATATTGGGGCAAAACCGGCTCCATACAAATGATAGCACAGAGTTCACACCAACATATTGATAAAATCATTTCGATTTAACAGATTAAGCAACCATTTTACAACAGAGCGAATGGCGAAGGCGAATTATACAACACACACACACGAAGAACAGCCGATGGACCAAGAACTTCCAAATAGATAACAAAAAAAAAAACAGAAAAAGCATTCACCAAACAGCCATACACCAAAACGCAGCAATAAAGCACATATGCATAATGTGTTGCAAAATTACAGCCCTTACCTTTCAGAAAAAGCTAAAATTTGTGTATCTTGTTTGTCTTTAGTGAGTTTCCGACCGTCAAGTACCGCATTAATAAATACATCCAAAATACGTTCAATGCTGAGATCCGAAAAAGGGTTCGCAAGGGCATTTTCCAAGGATATCAAACGCTCTTTAATACCTACAGGTGTATTTACTGAAGGCTGCATAGCTCAGCCACTGAAAATTGGGAGATGACTACGCCTCGCACATAAAAAAACTGATTGGACAAACAAAGTGTTCAAAAGTCCGGGCATTACTTCGGCCTTACAAAATAAAATATTTGGACTACTGAAAGTGTCAAACGAAAATTGGTCCATGTAAAAAAGTTGAACAAAAACCTGAAATTCACTAGCGTTTGAAGCCAATAAAGCTAAGTTATTGTGAGGGAGCTTTAAACACTTTACTTGACATAAATAAAAAGAGGAAAACATCCGATTTCGCATCACTAGAAGCAATCGAGGCACATTCAAGACGGGATTTTCAAGTTTTGGTACTATTTGCATGCTAGACCTTACCTTAAAAGCATCCTTCTTTAAAAATGCTGGTACCTAAACAATCTGTTCATGATTCGACAAATAGTAAGGAATATTGTGTGATTTTAGTTAACCACTTGCATTACACATATCACCCTATTCTATAATGACGACAGAATTTACGCATAAGAATCAGCTATAAATGCAGCTATTTGTTCTTTGCATGGCGTTGGAGCAGGCGGAATCTCTTATCACACACAAATGTGAACAAAGATTCTTTAGCGCTTTATCTTTATACGACTTAATACCGACATGTTCTTAGGTAAAAGGAAACGCTTAATTCATAGACTAATGGAACAGGGAACAAATATTCTAGTACAAAACAACAGCGTAAACAGCAATTGTGCCACAATGGATTGCGGCATCGTAAGGTGTCAAGAATTCCTACTTGGATTATCAAATCTTCGTTTAGTTATTCTAATATTTAGGTAGCAATCTTAATGCAGGCACATTGATCAATTAACCATACGATGTACGCTTTGCTTAGCGAGTCAGGGGATTTTTAACCATCAAAATGCTTGTAATGTATCAGGTGTTATCTACATCTTGTAAATGTCCCAAGATAATGCCAAGTTCATACCTAAGTTAATAAAAACCATTTATCCTATGAAGTACGAGTGACACAACTCTACTGGATGTTGAAACAGGATGCATTGTATTGTGCAATACTCCTGTGGTTATACAACACAGGTGAAAATCCACACTTATGTGGTTGCAACTCTTTCTTTATGTACCGCTGTGATGACTTTCACTCTCACTTTTCTGTAGCACTGTACAAGTCCGCCCATTACTCTCAGACTTAAAAGTCATTCTCTTCGACAATCGCGTAGTTATTTTTCGAAAAATTAAATCATATTTAATTGCTGTTTTTACCTTTATAATGCTTCTATGTTCAGCAAGTTTTATAGCAGATTAAAAACCACTGGGCCAACTACTTAGATTCCCTGCTCGAATTTCTGTTGCCTACGCAGAGGGAACTCAATTTCACGCACACCACTCATCACGTCATTAAACACGCTCCATATTTAGTAACGTTTTCTTAGTTTCGCCCTTTTGGACCTGCCCAACGGTTAGAACGTGAATTCAAGCGAAATCCGGCAAGTTTTGTCGCCATGTTGGCTTTTCCTCCTCCTTCCTCGTCTTGTTTTCATTACCTAAATGAACACGTATTCTAGTAGAACTTGAGTACCGACTCAGATAAAACCGTTGTTCTTAGGTCAGAGCCGCGCTCGCTCGTTACATTAACATAATGGCAAATTTGGTGACCCGCTCTAAGTTCTCAAAAAAACTTCTTTTCTCTACGCACTGATTTACCCAGTTGATCAGAAGTTTTTAAATCTACATCTGCACTAAATATCGCCTGTTAAATTTCAACACTAAAGTACAACTTTTGCAAACCAAAACTTTTTTTATTATCCATAATGTTACCTTTCATCTTTCCATCTACTTGCATTTTGTTTCCTAGCTACTGACAAATGCTGTAACTGATGTTATCCACTGCCTTTTGATAGCCACAATGGCAAACTAAAGATAGCTATTCGCACACAAAAGACGTACCAATGACAGTACCTTTGATGTTGACTCAAATCATGTAACAAATCCTTCTCATTTTCATCGGTCACTGCATCACTTGATTAGTAATAATAAATTTAGCGATTCAATTCCGCGTTATTTAATGGTTAAATGCCTGCCAGCTAATTTAGACGATGCATTGCTTTAAACAATTGAAATCCTGCCAAGGATGCTAACATGTATTACAAAAAATTTGGAGATACCACTGTCAAAGAGTAGGAACTTGAATTACGTCTACTGTGACTGCAGTGAGCCCGAACAATGTAGACAGTAACAACTTGCAGGAAGTTTTTTGGTCCCTCATTAGAAAACAACAGGTTTTCTAGAAGAGAGTAACTACGCCGATCCAGTCAATCTAACTGATGTCGGTATCGTTATCAAATTTAGGATGAGGCATGGACCTGCAAGCACCCTCGCAGTCATCCTTAGTCGTTCATGCCATCAAAGCTACCCCAAAGAAACAGCAAAGGCAAAAAATCGCTTAGGAAAACATCCTAGTCTCCTCTTTTACGCCATCCAGTTATTAAGGTGTTTCAGCTTTTGACCGTCACTGATGAGATTTGTGCAATTCCACTTGGACCTGATGAAGGCCACCTTAAAGGTTTCTGTCTACAATGCCAAGCAGCAAAAAGTCACCCATCGGGACCTACGCCCACATGCGATCAGTCCTGTACTTGGACTAAAAGCGATAGTTCGTCTTTATTTTTGAATGTTCAACGACAAATAGAGCGATTATCTACTTTCCTCTCTGCGATACCATATTTAGCGCCAATGTGCTCACACTCATCGACAAAAATATTAACATTTACTCTTGCCTAAATCTAGCGGGTGTGAAGTACTATTAGAAGAGTTTTCAGAAATACCCAAGTGGTCTAGCCATCCAGTTCACCAACTTACCAATTCATTCATTATTTCGTAACGAAAAATATGCCAGAAATCTCCAAAATAGCTGTCTTACATCTGATGAACTTGGAGCATCCAAAGCAGAATTTATAAGAATACGATATCTTGGCTTGACCATTCTTCTAACCGTTATAGGGGTTCACCATCACATCTGGTGCCTTAGAAATCAAATACCTGGGGACTCTGTAGCGATTTTAAAGCCTCAAAAACATCATTGTTTCTATACAATGAGCAAATCCCGAAATCAACGCTCAAAATGGCAATTTAAGCATAAAAGAATGTTGGAGGAAGTGCAACGAAAATGTGCCACAAGAGGGAAGTACTGGAATTTGTGAAACACACAGATGTTTCCCAAATTGGTCCACTAAAAATATCGGTTTGAAGGTCTAATTGAAGTGCTAGCGTTCATCTTCCGGGTACTTTAGCCATCTTAAACCCGTTATGGAATATTCTCGATAAAACTACTGGATAATTACTTTTTACAAAGCAGCTCCGTCATCATGTAAGGATAGTACGTGCATTTTCTCCTGGGTAAAAGCCCTTTGTTCACACTTTTAGTGCATCCTCTATCAAGCACTCTGTCACAGATTCCACATTTTATGGCAATAGTTCACGATTCCCAAAAAATACCTTCACAGTAGAAGAAAAATCATCACTGCACATATCACCAATTTGACCGTTTCTGGCAGTAAGTTTGAATCCCTGGTTGTATCACAAACAGATGAGTTACTATTCAAGCCTATGATTAAATGACCTGCCACTCCACCACGGTTGAAGGACATCAATGATTACAAATAACAATAACGATTCCAAACACAAAAAATCATATATTTGTTATTAAAGATGATTAAATATACTGCATAAGGATATCCATTAATATTAAGGGCCATTTCATTTTGTGAAGGTGGATCACAGGCAAGGAATTTGATGCACCCGCATTCTGAACATCACCACTCCAGTGCACTTACCCTGCTTTAGTCCACAATTTAGACACGTCTTTGATGTACAGCTTGGGAGATCGCTTGTTATAGTACAATATCGTTCACTATCATAACCTCCTTAAACTCCACTCAACATAATTTCGCGACATGAGGTTCCGACACAACACAACGGTGCACAACAAATGAGAGCATGAAGAATTAGACCATTCACAGTGCACGCGCTAATGACGACATCTACTCATGCCTGGCAGCGTTAGCCCTCCAAAAGCCATCTAGGTAGGCTTGAATTTACGAGCATTGGAACTTGGTGTTCGGTGCATTTTGTAGATGGCAAATGCACCAAGTGCCGATGCTGCCTTGAAGACGAATTCAATTATGCAAGTCTATTTCATTTGGATGTAAATCATGGTAAAGCCAAACACGGGTTTCTGCATTGCATGAGAGCCATGTTGGGTGTGCACGAAGTCAACTGCAATGCGTCTGTAGTGAACTTGCTGTGAACGAGTGCAAGTGAAGCCTATTTGCGAGGTAATCAAATGTCATTATTTGTCGATTGCGGTTGACGATCGACACTCACTGACGCACAGTGACATTAAAGCACTTTGGTGGTCTGATGACACAACAACGGTTGTATTCGCTGTCGCCTGTTTAGCCCTTCGTCTCGGGGAGTTGCGTGTTGTTAGCTAGCGGGATCGCAAGGTAGCGCAAACAAGCCGCTACATGTCCATCCGAAAAAACAGCCAAATGTGGAAATGCAGGACTATCTGCCCTCAATCCAATCCAAACACCCCTAGGCCCAAAACATGCATTCAGTAAAAAGAAATGCAGCGAAGCAGTACAATACTCGTTTGTGCCACGTAATGAGCGCATGAATTAAGAAACTCGATAGTTATTAGTAAAAATGGGTTTTGGTTCACAGATCGAATCGCTTTGACATTTCCTGTTCAATTAGTAGCAAAATCCTGTGCAATTCATATCACCACCTCTATGGTCCTGGTAGTAACTGCAGTGACGTAATCCGGTTGACCTCATAATGATGTATGACTGCTTAGTCTACTATATGCACATTAAGGACTTTGGGAGGAATTTTCAGTACAATTTTTACATACATAATGTTTGCATATTATCAAGCAGGAGTGCTTAGTGGCTCTTCTTGTAGACTTAAAACTGAACGCTCTACGAGACTCCGTGGAAGAAGTTGCTGGTATTTTAACAAACAAGCTAAATTGACGTCAGCCTTAAGAGTATTACCGACAACTGGCACAAAGCAGTACATCCACATTATCAGATACATGTAAATGAACGGAATACGGGACCGGAAATTGGACAAAAACCACTCTACTTTTTGTGTGGTTGCATTTGTTTGGAACGAGTTGCGTATATGCTGTCGTATGCAAAAACAGAGATCAAAGGGCTATTCGGTCACAATAGCACGAAGTGATGGGGTCAACTTCAAAGATGGCCTTCCTCTATCTTTTAATTGACGAGAACTCAATCAGGGTGCAAGAGTAGCCGTCTTCTCGGCGATGGCGTCCAAAAGAGGCTGTCTTTTGTGGCGATATCGGATGGCGAGGTTGCGCAACTCTGTCTCGAGGTCACGACCCAGGTTGACAAGGAGTTGTTCAAGCTCTGAGTACGAGAGCTTGGAGAGGCCGCCGGGTTCGTTGGAGAGCGCGAGGGCACTCGGCGAGCCCTGACCTTGTGCTGCTGCTGCTGCTGCCGAGCCCTCTGGAGCGGGTTGATGGAAAAGAGCGCCACTTTCCTGGAAAGCGCGAGAGAACGGAGCAAATGGGCGTTGTCCAAGGGGAGTGGGGAGAACACAGTGAGAAGATGACGAGTGTGGAATAGCACCACAATCACGCTGAGCTGCTGCCACTGCTGCTGCTACATCATTACTAGAACGTACAGGAACATATGAACCAGAAAGTTATTTAACAGAGGGTGGGAGAACAGGCGAAAAGCCCAAAACTTTCATGTCGACTGAAAATAGGTGTCGGAAGAACAGTAGTGATTGGTTTCGGAGATAGAAAGCGACTAATAGCACACTAGGAGAGTAGGCCAATTTACTGGGGGTTCAGCATCCCCAATAATATAGTTTTCAAGCAGTTGACAATTTTTCACTTTTCACAATTATTCGTGTTTATGCACCTATTTTGTGCAGTCAGATCGACTTTTCCCTTCCATTGGTCCATTCGTCCTTGAGTGTACTTTTACTCAAACTGGCAGTGAGGGCCGCCCACGTCGCGAACAAATGGGTGCATGCGAACGTGCGACCTCAAAACTTGGGCATGGCAAACCTGCTTCGCTTTTCCCAGACCTCTACTGCCAGGGTAATAATTACAACGAGACCAAAAACCTCAACAACTCACTTATTGACAGGCCGATCAGCGCTTTCACCAACAGCCACCTGCCGCGCAAATTTCCGGGTCAGGGTGTCGGCATTTTCGCTGGTGGCGTGATCTTTTTCGACTACTGCATCCTCATGAATGACCACGGAGCACTCCGTGTCGCCGTCGTCATTGATTACCATCGTGCCCGCGCTCTCCTGACTTGACGTTCCGACGTCACCGCCACCGTGAGACACGAGTGTCCCAATCACGTTCGCGCTATCACTACCGTAAAGGGGAGCACAGAACAGTCAATCCTTCAGTGTAAAGGCTAACACTGGAGAAGCAAACACTTGACGTTTAAAACATTTCGAACTTTGAAAATGGCCCCATAGTACGACCGAGCACGCCGTTATTCATTAACATGGGGAGTGCCAGTACGTAGCTGACCCTCGATACGACACTCCAATAAACACAAAAGTAAACGTATCTCAGTATTGATACAGCCAATTTTAGGGCAAGACTTCAGCGATAGTATTGATTTTAGATAAAGAATTTAGGCAAAATTTCGAAAGTTGTGCACTCGATTTTGAGGCAACTTTGTAAAGGAAGATATTGACTCAACGCCAGCAGAACTTGTGTTTCGTACAACTTTGCATCTGCCTGGCAAAATTGCCGCAATTCCTGACGACAATGCTGATATTACCTCTACAGCCTATTTCGACCAGTTGAGGTGCTTTATGAAGGAAATTCGAGTCACCCCAAGAAGAGTTTTCTCCCGACAGGCACTTATTCAGCCAAATTTGTTTACTTCCGCCTACGTTTTTGTCCCTGCACTCTCTCCTGCATCCCCAGCCTACCCTACCCTCCGCGTTGGTCGACCCCTGAGACCACCAGTCCGCTCTGCTGATTCAGTTCAGTAATTTTCGAGTGTTTATTGTGTCTCACAGCCAACACTCTCGGGAGGAGGAAATAGTTGTAGTGAGCTTGCACCAAACGAGGATAAGTGGGGCCCATTCACGAGTTGATCGAATGTCATCCATTGTCGATTATCGTTGACGTTCGATATTCACTCACGCACTTCGTTATAAAAGACCTGGGTTGTCCAATGTACATAAACAGTTACATTTGCTGTAGCCTGTTTAGCCCCTCTTCTCGGGTAGTTACGGACTGTTAACTAGCTGGGTTGCAGGGTATTGCTAACGAAGCCGCTACAGACTAACCTACTCCAATTACTTACTGCAACAGTAGTAGTGCAGGCGATTTTATTTGGAACTCACCCTCCAGAGGTCTTGACGAGCATGCTCGAAGACCCAGATCGCTGTATCATAGTTTCGGAACTGCCAGCATCCTCCTCGACAACATCAATGACTTCTGGTTGCTTCGACTTGGAGGCACCTCTAGTGGAGGAAGTCGCAGCTGCTGCAGCGGTCTTGGATTCATTAAGACGTTTTTCACGCAGCCCATTTGATTCCTCAATGAGTGGACTGTTTTGAACGAAAGAGGACACCAAAGAGGTTAGTTGAAATGCAACGCCATAGACCGGGGCATCTGCTGCCGCCAATGAGTACTGACTCGACCACGATCACCGCCATAACTAGGCAGGTAGCCAAGCTTGTGGTGTTCGCGATGTGCCTGGCCAGTTCGTTTTCATTTATAACAACAGTGGATGGCACAAAAAGGAGTCAAATACGTAAAGCTTTTAAAAAAATCTGAGATAGGTGTAGGATGTGGAAACAAAGTAGACGAGTAAACTTACAGAAGGATGGAGCAGGGGTTCGATGACTGGATGAAGTCTGTGGCCAAAAGAGCGGCAGCCGTGGGTCGCGCCTCGGGAGCCCGAGCCAGGCAGGAGTTCACGAAGGCGACAAAGTCGCTCGACCACGAAGCCTCGTTTCGTAGGCGTGGCGACGGCTGACTGGGTATCATGAACAGCGCTCGCATTGGGTGCTCATCGCCCAACGGAGGTTTCCCGTCACCCATCTCAATCGCTGTTATTCCCAACGACCAAATGTCGGCCGAGCAGTTGTAACCAACTTCCTGGATAACCTGAAATTGCGAAAAAACCGGGCTTGAGGGAAGGGAGGAAGAGAGATGCGAAGACATAATGAAGGGGGATTAACATGACCGAAGGAAGTGTAAAGGAACTTTAAAAAAAAGTAGAGTCGAAATTAGAAAAGTATTATGAGGGAAGAACAGCAGAGGTACCACTACCTGATGAACAACGTAAAAGCCAAAGCGACAAAAAACGGGCTTATTGGCATAACAACACGACGTCAAACATTATAATAATAAAAAGAACCATCACATGAAATTTGGATCAATGAAATAGTACCAAATTTATCTAGGCGTATTTTTATGACTCAATTGCGACGGTAGGTGCGCTAGGTTCGATGCGATCAACTGTAATGGGCGTAGTGATGTTTGATCATACAAGATCTTTGTATGTTCCAAAATGAAACAGAATTTGGAGCATTTCGCTGTTTGAAAGTGGCCATTTTCGTCCCTAACTGAATGCATGCTAGCTAAAGGATTAAGAACAGTAGAATTTTAAGTACGACACAGGTTACATGTAAATGGCGAGTTGTGTCAGGTTCTTTCCGTGAGTCCACGACCTCTTCGGTCAAAATTTTGGTTTTCGAGAGACTTATAGCCTCACATAGAATTCCAACAACTTGAAGTATCTTACTATCGAAAGATAAACATTGAAAATCGGTATAGACAGAAGTCCTCAATCTGACAGTTCAGCAGATATGCGTTTCAAGGTTGTGGTTCTTTACAAAGACCCTTGCAGGAAACATTGGATTGAGGCAATCATCGGTTCGTTTGTTTCTAAATGGAGAGCTAATATTTTATCCAACAAAGACGTTATTATTCTTCCTAAAAAATAAACGATTCTTTATATTCCAAAGTGATAATTTTGACCTCAGTGACGAGAGCTGCTTGAACGCACATTTAAAAAGGTAGTGGACACGGAGTCTAGAGGACGCTGGTCGAAAAATATTGTGCTGTGACTACAACACCATTTGCCGGCAAGGCTCAAAAGACGGGAGTGTGGGTGTCGGATGAGGTAACGGCAAACCAAAAACACCGGTGTGTCGCAAAGGTGGCCATTCTTCTTGTGCAACGCAAATCAGGAAGTCTGAGTCATATTTTCGCTGGAGATGAGAACTGGGGTCTTTGCGCAATTCTTCAGCAAAGCAAAGACTGGGAGGACAAGACAACCAACCAGCACGTCAACGCCACCGAACGAGGCCATTTGAACAAGACCAGTCAGCGCAAATAATCTGAACACACCAGAGACAACCGGTTCGACTGTAGGACAACGCCTGGCCGAATATTGCACAAGGCAGCCGTCCGGGTGCTCGTCTAAAAAATTTTAACGCAACCTCCACGCGCTTTGAACTTTGCTTCGTCGGATCGCCGTTTTGTCCGCTAGCTTTGGGGCGAAATGCGCGACATGATTTACGGCAACAATGAAGACATTAAAGAAATCGCTTAACAAACGTTTAGAGGCGATACTAAATCGATAAATTGACAGAACGGCAGGAGGGTGAGCATTACCTGTTTGCTGAAGCTTGCATTCCTTCTTCCAGTTAGACACACCGATGTCAACTACGTCAAACCTGAACAAAAGCACCCGGGAGAACACTCTATGGTAAGGTATTACCAAGGTAGGCGTGTTTTATCTTGAATAATGATAAACATAAAATAAAAATACTAACATGTGCACAAAGACAACCATGTTCGAAGGCGTACTGTGCTGAGACTGCTTGCTATGGAGTGCCGCTTACTGGGTGAATGGTCTCAGACCGCGCCAATCAATGTTTACTAACAGGTTTCAGTAGGAGTGTTTAGACAGGAATAGACACACAGACATTTTGGGCAGGCATGGATAAAAGAATGTAAATAGGGCAGGTATTTGAAGAAGCCACTGATGGACAGAAAAAAGCCAAAAAATAGAGAAACACACCTCAGGAGCCATCCAATAGGGTGTACCGATTACTGTGTTTCGCTTGGCCAGCGTGTCCGCCAGCTGGCCAGCAACGCCGAAATCCGCCAACTTCGCCATGCCCGAATTAGTCAGCAGTATGTTCCCGGCCTTTATGTCCCGGTGGATTTTCCGCATCTACAATTGATTAGGTCAGAAAACGTTTCCCTCACATTCTGGAAAACATGACACATGTTTTGATGAATAAATCAGGAAAACTGAGAGAAGCATGGACACCTTTTAGTCTACGTCAAATCTACTTTCACACGCAAAATTATTCAAAGAAATACGCTAGAAAGTGCCTCTATAGGACCAATATTAATTGCTTTGGCATTCGAGTGACGAGCCGTTTGATCCTACAATACGTTAAAGATAAAGACCCACCAATTAGGATATTACTATTAATAGACACCAAGCCTTCTCTGAGGCAATAAAAAAATAATTTCAATGACTCGTTAACCTTGGAGATACAAAAAAGAAGTGATACTTGCTACAAAATCATATACAAAATAATCCTGAAAAAGAGCATATTTGTTTCGCCACAATTACGCACTCACTGATGACCCAGAACAAATACTTGGCAGGACAGAATGAGGCTTTCCTTGTGATTGTGGCTGACGATTTATACTAACCGCCTAAAAGTATTCACCATAGGTAATTCTAACTGAAACTAAAATACACGTGGTCGAACTGAGCACTATAAAATCCCTTTACAAAACATCTCTAAAGCCACATTTTAGTCCCGGTGATAGGAGCAATAAATGGATTATTTAATAATTAATTTTTGATTTGATTAACTAAAAATCTGCACGAATCTATCATTGCAATCGAAAATAAAATTGGATCAACTTAATTGTCTAATGTTATTGAAAAGTGAAGTTAAAACCATTCTATAGAGTAATTTCCAACTGTGTAATCAATTTCGCTAAACGAAATCATGTTTAGACGAAGTTATTTATGTAGTGTAGCACAACTGTGTTTTTTTTAATTACATACAAAAAAACACCAGTAACAAACGTAAAAATAACTAAACAAAAACAGTATGCTATGAGCAGGTCCGTGCACAGCGCATATAATAAATACATGCCTGATGAAGGTAGTCAAGCCCAAGAAGGCTGTACTTCAAAATTGTTCCGATTTGAGATTCTGTGAGTGTTTGGTTTCGAAGTCGCATTATGTCGGCAACTGAACCGGCTCCACAGTACTCCATACAGATCCACAGGTCCTGGTTGTCAAATAGACTACCAAAGCACTTGACAATATACGGACTATCGCATTGCTGCATGATTGAAATCTCCTTCACGATCTCCGATAGATCACTATCGACCGGAACCTTAAAAGCGAAACAGTAGAATGAAGTTTGACAAATTTGGGAAGAGAATTCAAGTCTGCCAACATTAATTCAAACAAAATTAGACCAAACACGAGAACGTTTAACTTCATGGAGTAAGTACTTTGTGCACCTAGGAAAACGTGGAGACATTGATTACGTTTTGAACCAGACACAGTTGATATAATTCATGAGTATAGGAGTTAAAGAAACTAGAGGAACCTTAACAGTTTAGATTGTGATCTACTCTTAAAGCAGACAGCATCAAGAAAACCACTTTTAAGTAATAAGACATATTTGCACAAGTGTCATCCTAAAATATCCCTTTGACCTGTGTTTTACATCTAATCGTGCTTGGTAGTAGGCAACTATTGTGACGCATGAGAAAGGTGACTTAGAGGAAATTAGTTTATGAAAACTCGGTGTAACTTCGAAAAAGGTCACATACGGTTACCATATTCCAAAACTGCTATAAATATTCACACGACTTTCGATTCGTCACTCAATATCAAGTGGATAGAGAATATGCGGTTGGTATTACGAACTTTATGTAACCCAAGCACATTATAAATACTGCTGTGGATGGACAACAAACCCCTGATCCTACCTTAAATTATTTCACCTACTTTTTTCACCGCAACGACGGTTCCGGAGGCCTTGTGTCTAGCCTTGAAAACACTGCCGTATGATCCTTTCCCCAGCTTGCAGATGACCTCCAAAACCTTCGTTGGTGGTTTGGAGAGCTCCAATTCTTCCAACCTTCGCATCGTCACTAAACAGACGACAAAACCAATAATATAATCGAAAAAACTCAGAGATTAGAAAATTAAACACATACAATGACTGAGAATACGCTACAGTAAAAACAGACCGCTGACATGCAAGAAATTCCGTGTGAGAAGTCCACAAAAGTTGACAAACTTCATCCAGAAAATTTCACTTTCAGATCTGCATCAGCAGAGGGGCGACCTCTACTATCTAGTAAGACGTCACATTTTTAGGGTCACAAAATGCCTACGATGCTTCTATACATTACATTTGCAAATAAAGCACCAAGCTAGTAATTATCTTTAGATTTAAAAACCGAATTGTGCAGTGGTTAACTCACCGTCTTTTATGACCCGTTATATTTAAATAGACTTCTGGTTGATTGAGGCAAAAACATCAGAGACTCAATTAATAGTCTTTTTACAATCACTCAGCCCAGTTTTAGTTCAACGTCTACGTAGAAGCAGATATAGAACTGACGCATTAAATGTATGTGTCTTCACAGTTGAGCTTTTGAAATGATTCTGAAAGCAACAGAATTAAGTGAAAATTCCACCTCAACAACGAAAGGCTACTAGTTATATAATAGTGAGCTTCGATAAAAAGCCACATCCAACATATCTAGAAACTAGATTTAGCATCCAACAAACAGGTTTTGTACGAATGGAGATGACAGATAGCAAAGAAGAACAAAAGATGGTTCGTATTACATTATAACTTTTGATTACATTCACCAACTAAAATAGCTTATCTCAAACAATAAAATCATGGATACAAAAGTAAGACAGAGGAAAAGTAGCATAGCCTCATCGATTTGGTACCGATGTG